CGGGCTGTGCTTGAGTGTGCCAGGCTCCTGCCCTCACCTGCCAAGAGGGCCTGAACTCACTTAAAATAAAGCTCAAGCTCCCAGAAGCAAAATAACCAAACCACGTTTCTGCTTCTTCCCAACCAAAGTTTTCAGTTCCCAGCTCAGCTGAGAAGCTTCTAACTGTTATTAAGATTTTCTGCAAATTAGAAAAAGACTGTGTGAATTATTTGTATAATTAAAAATGGACTGTCAGATATTTCAGTTTTCCTATACATCGAACCACTTTCCTGGGTAGAAAATGATGTCTCAAGTGCAAAATTCATTCACATGGCCTTCTATCCTATGTTATTTTCACAATACCAAGCAGATTATAGTGTCTAGTATTTAAAAGTGCTTCTTGGCTGGCCACTGTGGCTCATGCCTATAATCCCAGCACTTTGGGAGGCCAAGGCAGGAGGCCTCAAGTGTGAGACCAGCCCGGGCAACATAGCAAGACCCCCATCTCTACAAAAAAGAATTTTTTTTAAATTAGCCACGCATGATGGTGCACCTGTAGTCCCAGCTAATCAGGAGGCTGAGGCAGGAGGATCGCTTGAGCCTGGGAGTTCGAGGTTGCAGTGAGCTATGATCGCACCACTGTGCGATAGCTGGATAACAAAACAAGACCCTATCTCTAAAATATATATATATATATATATATGTATATATATATATATACATATATATATATATTTTTTAATGTGCTTCTTGTTTTGCATACTTGGCAGATACCTACAGAATTTCATTTTCTATTGTGGGTACCCCTTTCTTAACTAGGTGTCTTCCATTCCATTTTGGATGTGGAAACAAAACCTCAATTTGCCGGAGTAAGCAATGGGTTTTCCTTGGCCATGGGCCAGAACGTGCTTACCAGATTCTTTTGGTTGGTGATCAGGTGATGATTCGTTTACAGTGGAGTTTTACCATTTGTGCTTTTGACTGATAAAAAAATCAACTAAATGCACCTGGCTTAGGAAACACGGGCAGGGAAAGGAGTAGCACAATACGCAGTGCAGGCAGTTCCGTCTGCCCCATGCCAAGGGAGGGCACGTGGTACCCGGTGATGCAGAGATGGGAGCTCCAGGTCTGCCCATCCGTTAGCTGCTCTTTTTCCTGCCTCCGTGAGTGTGGCTGTATTTTATCATTTTGCTACAACAAGGCCCTAAAAACACACGTGACCTACTTGGGCTGGTGCTCAGCCTGAAAAACTGATTTGTTACAGCCCTGAAAGAAAGACTGATCACAATGGATTTATTGAAAAGTGTTATGCCACCTCCCCAGAGCGCCATCCCTCTCTAAGAAATCTTCAACAGTCGTGTTATCGATACATCACTTTTTGCAATATTCTGTGCACTGGGAACTTAGCCAGGTGTAAGCAATGACGCCTCACTTGTTCCCCTGTTTCTAGAGTACAAGGTCACCATCTGCCTGGCTAGAAGAGGGACACTGGGCTTAGCACAAGGCACACCCTCTCCCACGCCGCTGTTGAGCTTATCTCTGCTGTTCCTTCTGACTTCTTCTCCTTCTTGAATCATGAGAAGCAGAAATGTCTTCCCAATAAGCTATTTTGTTTTTATATGCCCTCTGATATAACAGCCAAATGCATAGGTAAAATTCTTGTTCCCTTTTCTTTCTCCACTTGTTACTCTTTCTTCCCTTTTCACTTTTCTTCTTTATTTTCCTCATCCCACTTCACTCGGCTCGCTGTTCCCCAGGCGCTCTGCGGGTGCCGAGCATGTAGGGTGAGCATATTGCGGCCTGTAGCCCGAGGAGTCTACAGACCCCCAGATCCAAGCTCAATAGATGAGATACAGAAATCCACAGGATCCAGGGTCTAACGTGAAACATTCTAGAATTTTCCACTTTAAAAAAGACGATTGCTCACACATAGAATGAGAGCCAGCATGAAATTTCGTTCCTGTAAAAACCTTTTAAGAATGCTCACAGACATTGGGCAATCTATACATTTGACTTGGCATAAAATGACGGCAGCAATACAGACTTTGTTTTCAGATACCAGGTAGGAGTTTGTTTAAGCCAGATAGTAACATGGAAATTTGCAAGATGCAAATAAAAAGAAAATCCACTGATAAGAAATATAGGTTATCTTTATGAGAGAAGAATTATCTTATTGATACTTGTTCATACTTGTCACCTAGCAGGTGTTTAAACAAATGTGTCTTGAATGAATGCATGAGTAAATAACATAGATTTTTTTTCCTGAATATAAAAATAAATACCTATACACCTTAAATCTTGTTCTTCTATCTTTGAGGCTCATTCTAATTTAGGCAGCCAGAAATAGAATGAAATGCATTAGTTCTCAAATTAGGCATAAATAATTGGACAAGGAAACAAACATCTTTGCTTCAAATTGAGGAAAGAGGCAATAAGAACATTGTATGTGTGTGTGTATATATATATATGTATATATATATTTTTTTACATAGAAATCTAAACATACCTTTATGAGTACATCTCTTATTTTAAAACAACAGCAACAAAATCTGGTTGGAGTTAATTATACTAATCACAGTCACTCATTAAGTACTTACATGTCAGACCCTGTGCGAAGAATTTGACACACATGATCTCATTTTGCTTTTCTCTTTCAGCCTCTGAGACAGTGGCTACATCTGACACAGGAAGAAACAGATCCTTGCAGAAATGAACCTATTCGAGGTCACCCAGGTAGGTAGTGGCTTAACCCTACTTGGAGCCTGGCGTCTGGGTTCTTCACCACGTATCTGTACAGAACTTCATTTAGGGACAGGGATTGTCAAAGCCAAGATTTTTTTCACTTGCGGCCTTTGCCTCAAAATGCACATGTCACTACCAGTTGGAGAACAATTTATCCTACTCACCCAATAAGCAAATTAAGTCAATTGATTTTAATTCAAATTGTGAAAAATATGTCCGAATCAAACATTCTGACTTCCCAGGGCCGCACTAAAGCAAACATGTGGCATCATTGGAGGACGTTGGTGACTAAGTAAAATGTGGTTGAAGACAAGGTTTCAGCAAGACATGGGCTGATATTGCCAATTTCGCTTCCCTAATTCTTATCTGATCTCGATTACTTTCCTTTCACTGTGGGAATAATAAAACACTCTTTTCATCCAAGCAGTTGGCAGTTTCATTGACTACCATTTTATTTATCAAAGGTTGTGATTGTTCTAACTAATGTTTTATCACTTCCTTTAAGAAATTGATCCATGAGTTTAAAAGATAGAGAATAGAGTTGATGTGCTTTACAAAACAACAAAATAATGTCCTTAAATTCCACCATTTTAATGGTAACCCTGCTACCTAAGCAATGGATCCAACTATTCTTGTTACCGGTGTCTTTCATTTTATCCTGTAGGAAATCATTCACTTGTATAATAAGATAGAACTACTTTGGGTTTTCTTTTTTTTTGTTTTTTAATGTTCCCCTCACCCCCCTCCCCCATTTGGGGTGATAGTTGAAGAACGATTGTGCAGGAGGAAATACTGCGAATTTAGACTAAGAGAAGATGTCCAGAACGTTCATGGGGATAAAGGAAACACACAGGGCAGACAACCTACAGTCTGCAAAACAAACAGAATTTGAGAGCTACGGCTCACCTACCCAGAGCTGCCAGACTGCTTCTCCCTACTTAGTGAGAAGTGGCAACTTCATACCAAAGGTACTCTGGGACGTGTCTTCCCGGGAAAGGAGACGACCCCTGACTGGACAGGGGGCAGTTGTCAAGCTGCCAGGGGACCACCTTGTTGCTAGACCGGGGGGCCTGGACCCATCAGCCGCTCACACCAGCAGATCTCCTGGCCAGCGACAGTGAGGCTCTCGTGAGGACGCGTCCTACCCAAGCGCCAGATGGAACTCAAAGGACAGAGGAGGGCAAGGAGGGTGTTGAGAGCAGGGGACAGCTTCAAAAGCTCAGCCCCTATCCTGAAGAGTCAAATTTCAGTTCTTCAGACAAATTGGATAGGAGAGAAAGAGGCCAAAGCGGAAAAACAGTAAAATTCTTCATAACTTGGAGTTTCTAAAGCACAGTGCTACATTTCCAACCTGCGGTGCAATTAGAACTAAATAAGTGGTCAAGGAAATAATATTGTTTAATAGACACTTTAGGATAATTGCTTTGATTAGCCCACAGGACTTACTCAACAGTAACTCGCTGTGGATGTATTATTTATGCTGGAACTCGGGGGAGGGGGGGGCACACAGAGCCTTGAAAGGATGCACGGGAAATGTTGAAAACAATGAACTGTCAGAATGGGGAAAGAGACTGCAGTTCAGCTGTTTCTTCTAAGTTCTAAGTAGTTGTGAGTGTGAGCGAGACCCCGTCTCTACTAAAAATAGAAAAAAATAGCTGGGTGTGGTGGCTCATGCCTGTAGTCCCAGCTATTTGGGAGGCTGAGGCAGTAGGATTCTTTGAGCCCAGGAGCTCGGGGCTGCAGTGAGCTGTCACAAATAAGTTAGAATGAAGCTGTTAGGATGTTCCTTAATCCAGCATGATGGTGTGCCCCTAAGGGGAGGAGATTCGCACACAGACAGGTATGCAGGGACCCCGTGAAGACACAGGGAGAAGACGGCCATCTAGAGGCCAAGGAGAAACAACCTGCCGACACCTTGCTGCCAGGCCTCCAGCTTCTAGAACTGTGAGAATAAATGTCTGTTGTTCAAGCCACACCCTCGTTGGCAGGTCCCGTGACTGCAACAGTAAGTGCAGGGGAAGGTGGCGCTCAGAGGAAGGGACACGGCCAGGCCGGGAGACGAGGGGCAGCGGCCTGAACGTGGACGGGTTCGTGGGAGTCAGGCCCCTCGAGCCCCTTGCCTGGAGAGTCACTGCAGGGGGAGGTCCCAGCTGCGGGGAGCAGGGTTCCAATGGGAAGCAGACGACACAGAGCTGCAGGGGTAGAGAGAGCAGGTTCCAAAACCATGAAGTACAAAAAGCACCAAGAGACTGAGCCCACTCACTGTGCCAGGGGGCCACAGGCCTCTGAGGCACGGGCGGTCAGGCCTGGCGGGCGGCGTGCCCAGCCTGGACCAAGAAGGGAGTCGCAGGTTCTAGACCAGCTCCCTCCAAACCAGCAGGGTACCCCCAGTTTCCCTCAACTCCCATCTCTTCTGTGCCTGCACATAAAAGACGAAGGATCGGTGGAGCTAGCTGATCGCCTAGCTTCCTTTTTGTGCTGAAATTCTGTGGTTTTGATTCATAGTGATGATTCATAGTGAGTCAACAAGAAAAAGGTTAAATCACGCTCTGAACATTCTAGTTAAGAAAACAGGCGAGTCTGTGCTCTATCGTGTAAATGCTTCAGAGGTATTAGAACCTGAAAGCCATTTCGCTGTTTAAAGACGCAAGGTTCAGACGCTGGGGGAGTTGATCGCCGCGGAGCTCCTCGCCCACGTGAGGCCAGACGGGCACCAGCTGCACCCCCGCGCTGGCGGGTCCTCGCGGGCCCTCTCCACGCAGGGAGGCTGCGAACCGTGCTTCCTCAAGGTCAGAGAGCCCCACGGGCCGGGAGAGCATGTTATGTAACGGTGCGCATGACAGCTTTTCAAGTTGGCGCTCCGTATCGAATTCCGGTTTTCTTTCAGAAATAAAATTATCTAAGAAAACAAAGCTTGGCTGTTTACAGTGCGGGCGGCTTCTTCTTTCCTAAGAACTCAGTGGTTTCCAAATACCAAGAATCTATCTGTCTTAAAATTATTTTAAAATTGCAATCATTTCAAAATGTAAAGAAAGGGATTTGATGACGGCATCTCTGTCCCTTTTGTCTGGGCTAAGGACATGTTGGCGGCAGCTGCCTTTCAGCAGGTAGCCCTGCAGGTAGATGAGGACGTCACGACGTCACGACGTCACAGCGCCCAGGTCTCTGCCTATCCCACCCACAGATGCAGATCTGGATGGAATCCGGACAGGGAGAGGGACCATCTCCCGCTCTGGCAGCGCCCGCCGATCGGCCCCACCCGCCGGCCTGTCTGGACTCCGGGTTCGCTGTCCTACCTGGCTCTGTCCCTCCTTTACCTTTGCGTCTTGTGCTGAACGTTCTTACTTTAAAGGAAAGGAATAAATCTCTCGGTGTGGATGGCGTGGCGCATCGGCAGGGCTTGTGCCTGTGACTTCCGTGGTAAGGTGGCACCCAGACCGCCCGGGGAGGTGGCAGACGCCCAGCTCTACCCAGCTCCTACCTGCCCTGGAGAGGAATGCCCCCTGCCCTCCGTCACCTTTCTCTCAAGGGAACACAGATGCGTACCTTTACGTCTAGTCGTCCCCCAGACGTTTGTTGGAGGCCTGTTGTTTTAGGGAGACTTGCAGGATGTCGGAGTTACATGAAATTGTGGAAAAATAATCTGATCCAATGCCTTTATTCTGTGGGGGGAAAACTAACCCTCTGAGAGAAGGGACCCGCCTGAGGAAGAGGTTATGAACTGTGTTGGTGACAGAACTGGCCTGGAATCCAGTGGCTTTAAGCCCGGCCTGAGCACCTTGGGGCTGGCTGCTTTCTCTGCCTGAGCTTCGGGGAGGGCCCGAGCTCTGCCCCCTGCACCTGCTGCTCCTGGACTTGAAGGAGCGCCACCTCCCCGCCACCACCCAAGGTCAGCGCCCCTCCCCCGAGAGTGCATGGCCTTTGCACGTGGACACAAGTGGCTCTTCTGCATGGCCACAGTAACCACGGAGATACCAGAGGACAGCGTTAGGTCTCCTTCACTCTTGGACTTTCCTCTGGACCAGGAAGCTTTTGATTTTTCCTTTTTTTTAAACTTTGGTAAAACAACATAAAATGTGCTGTTTTAACTTTTTTAAGTGTACGATTTCATAGTGTTAGGTACATTCATAATGTTTTACAGCCATCACTATTATTCCTTTCCAGAACTTTTTCATTATCCCAAACATAAACTCTAGCCATTTGTTATGGGCTGAATTGTGTCCACCCCAAGATTCAATACGCTGCAGTCCTAACCCCAGGAATACAGCCATCTGCCCACCAAGGAGTCCTCAGAAGAAATCAGCCCTGCCAACACCTTGATCTCAGCCTCTGGCCCCTAGAATGGTGAGAAAATAAGTTTCCAGTGTTTAAACCACTCAATTCTTGCTTCTTTGTTATGGCAGCCATAGCAAACTAACGCACAAATAGTAATACTCCCCACTCCTGCCAGCCCTGGTGACCTCTAGCACATTGTCCCTATGAACCTGCCTATTCTAGGACCTCGTGTAAGTGGAATCTTACAATATTTGTCCTTTCGTGTCTGGCTGATTTCGCTTAGCACAATGTTTCCATGGGTCATCTATGTGGTAGCATGCATCAGGATTCATTTCCTTTGTGTGGCCAAGTATAACAACATTCCCTTGTGTGGATGTGCCGCATTTTGCTTATCCGTTCGTCATCTCATGATGGACATTTGGGTTTCCTCTACCATTTGGCTGTTGTGCATCACTCAGGCTTAGCTTGTGACTTTCAAAACAAATAAAAACAATAGCTTAAGAGAAAGAGGTATAAGATTTCCATAGCTCAGAGTTTATGCCACACTGGAATTTAGAGACTGCACGATGAGGTCAGAACCTGTTTTTTCTCTCTAGCCAGGGTGGAGGGTGTGGTGGAGGGGCTTGCTGCCAGGTGCATCAGCTACCTGTGCCCAGACCCGCCGGAGGCAGCAGAACCCCCGACAGATGGACATCCAGGCGTAGAGGAAATGAGAGCTCCACTCCTCTGGGGGCTCCCAGGCTCCCTTAACCACCAGGACCTGGGTGTTTGGAGTAGGGGTGCCTGTGCGGGGTATGGGTATGTAGGGGCCAGGCAGAAGGCATTGGGTGGGCTTCTAGCATCCCCTTGCTGTACCGCGAGGGGTCAGGGAACAGACAATGCCTTCCTCGGTGACAAAGAGTGAGTCACTTGCTCTGGTCCAAGGACAGGGACATATTGGGCCAGACACGAGCGGCCGTGTGTGGGGCCAGCTGGGATCTCCTCAGAGTCCCTGTGGGGAGGAACTCCTTGAGGGACCGTGGCCCACCCAGTACACATGGAGAAGCAATGCTGAGGTTCAAGTTCAAAGAAGTATGGCCAGAAATGTGCAGGTTCGTGATGGTTTGCGAAGGCTATTTCATTCTTCTAGCCCTTCAAGCTGCTTTCTCCCCTATTATCAAAAGGAAGAACAACTTGCATAATTTCAACATATCTAAAAATAGCTTCCTTTTTGACTTAGATTAAAGAGAGAGAGAGAATTCCTGCTCTATCTGGAACAGATAAGAGGGAAAGATCGGTGGAGGGGAATGGCCGCGGGCCTCTCTGGCATTCTGGAGGCTGGGCGAGACTCTAACATGCATTCATCTGCATCACGGGTTCCTCGCCTACAAAGCAGGGCTTGGGGTCAGCCACTTCCTGGGGCACCTGCGTGGTTCTGTGTGGGGAACTATTTTTACAGAGAGGCTCTGATATCCTCTTCCTCCCGGTGCATCACCCAGGAGCGTGGAAAGGTGAGTTCTCGGCCCCACCCAGACCCACTGAAAGCAAGACGCCGGGGGTGTGTCCCAGAACGCTGCGACATAACCGGCCAACCAGGGGACACGGTGTTTCTGCTCTCCGGTGACCACTGCTTTCCTAGAGACGCAAGCTCTACCTGGAGGACGTGTGGGATGTGACCTCACCACTACTGGCAAGGCAATAAAAAGTGGAAAACTAGATGTTGGAAAGAACAGATTCGACGCATTAGCTTCAGTACCAGAATAAGTCGGTTTCCACACCAAAAATTATAAATATGCATACTTTATCCTAATGCAATGCAATAATTTCCGATTTTTAAAAGAACCATCAGCATGGCGAACCAGACACCCCTCTCTGACTAAATGCGTGACGCACGCAGAACTTTCGTCGCCACGTGATAATGAGCTTGTAGAGATCTGTGTGCATGGCTCTTCAAAGCCATGCCGCTGAGCTTCTCAGGGAGAGAACTTGTGAGAACAAAATGCACTTCAGTCTAAGGACGCGGATTGTGTGCTGAGTCACGCTGCCGTGAGAGCGAGCGCCGCCGCGTTAGGAAAGGCGGGTGGGAAGCCCCGCCAGTCCGCAGCTGCGCGGGGCGCCCCTGCCCGCTTCCCAGCGTGAGGGTCTCGCGGAGGTTTCCAGTCACGGTAGCGTTTGGGCAGAGGACGAAGATGAGGCCTGTGCCATCAGCTGGGATGCAGAATTTTCTTTCGAGTCTTCGCCCTGGCTGGTACTCAAGGTCACAGAACGCCTCACTCTAAGGTGACGTTACATTTCATGAAAATCACCTTGGGCCTCCCACACTCACCACCGTTTTATATTTCAGTGTCGTTGAGGCCCAGCTATGCATTGAATGTTGTTCCCGTCTATTCCTTTTTGTTTGTTTTCTTTTTTTTAACTCCAAGAAATAAGTCCTTAGGCTTCTATGATTTGGGATTAAGAAAAAAAAAAAAAAGAAGTCCCACTCAGGGGTGCAGGTGAGATGTGCTGGCTCCTCACTGCTTTCAAGTGAACGAGGAATTTTCTTGAATTAAGGAACTTCATGGCAACGCCCACGTTTTGAAGGATGTAGAGGATTCAAGTGGCTCCACCCATGCTTACTGAGTCCAGGGAAGTGGATTTGAGCTTTGGAAAGGGGCTAAGGTGAGCCGAGCCCGGGGGCACTTCCGGCTGCACCTGGCTCCCGAGCGCCCGAGGTTCCGGCTGGGCCTCACTTCCTGCCTCTCCCCGGTTCCCGGAAATGAGGCTCAGGGTTCCAGGTCACTGCTCTGGTTCTTGCCCTCGTCAGCCAGCTTCCCTGTCTTTCCCAGTGCACGCTGCCATCCCTGCACTTCAATTCCACGTCCACGCTCAGCCCGGCCTTTCCTGGAGATGCTGACAGCGCAGGCCCTGAGCACCCCAGGTGGCCCACACAGGACCTCCCAGGGTGGAAAGATTCTCCGGGAGCACCGAGGTGAAAGTCACCTTGAATGCTTGCATACATTCAGTGGGCACTAACTAATTCAGGCCACTTCAGGCCCCTGTTGCAGAAAACACTAGGATCACATTCAGCTGCCCGCAGACAACTGCACCGTCAGCGTCACCGATGGGGTCCCCATCGCCTGTCGGATGGTTGGTTACGTCCAGTCCTACTGGAACGACACTTCCTCCTCCGCAACGCTCCGCGCCCCCGATTCTGGGCACCCCGCTCTCAGATGGTTCCTTCCTGCCTCATCTGTCAGTCTGCCTCTCTCACTTGCTCCTTCTGCACAAACTCCTCCTGCTTCCGGGACCAGGTTTCAGTCCTCGGACCTCTTGCCTCCCCAGGTGGCGTTGCCAGATTGAGAAATAAAAACATAGAACTCCCAGCTAAAACAACAAACAGTCCTATGGTGAAAGGATGTCCCAAATATTGCATGGCCCCAAATACTTACCTGGGTAACAGGTAAATATTGCATGAGGCATACTTAGGCTAAAAAGTGTTCATTATTTATCTGCATTCAAATTGAATCGGGCACGCTGGGTTTCATCTGCCCACCCCAAGATGATCTTATCCAGTTTCATGTCTTTAAGTGCCATCTCTATGATGACTCCTCCAAAAATGTTTATCTGTAACCTAGATCTCCCTCTCCTGGACTTCAAACTCCCAAGGACTCCACCCCGTTGCCACCCAGGTGATTAATGGCTGTCTCAACTCGGCAGGTCAGAAACAGTGCTAATCTTTACCCCAAAATCTTGCTTCACGCACAGGTAATTCCGTCCCTCCATCTGCTCAGCCAAAAACCTTGGGCTCTTCCTCGGCCACCCGCCTTCTCCTCACACCCACGTGCAATCTGTCAGGATTTCTTTGGTCCCACCTGCTGTCAAAGCACCTCTTGCTGGATCACGGCCACCACGGCCCACTCCTGTCCCTGCTTTGTCCCGTGCCCCACAGAGTTTTTGCTCAACATGCCTGCCAGAGGAGTCTGTTAAAACATTAGTCTGGCCATGTCACTTTTCAGCCCCCACCCTGCAGTGGGTCCCCGAGTTTCTCAGCACAAAAGCCCAAGGCCCTCACACCCTCCCACAAAGCCACTGTGACCGGTTCCCTGCAGCCCCTGGAACCTTGCTGCCCTGACCCCCGATACTCCCTCCTGCAGGCTCAGCCATCCTTCCACAAGCCAGCACTCCCGCCACACAGCCCATGCCGGGAGCCTGCTGCTTGCTCCTTCTTCCAGAACATTCTCTGTGCAGGTGTCCGTCCTGGCGGAGAGCTCCTGCCCTTCCCCAAATCTTTGCTCAAATCTCACCTTCTCAATGAGGCTCATGCTGACCTCCCTATTCCCACTCCAGCCTACGCCAGTTTGTGAACAACGTGTGACGAAGCCACAGGCCAGATACTTCACAAAAGTCATGCCCAGGAGTATGAGCATGTAAAGACCAGCTCTTAAAACGTGTGTCCCCACCAAAGGCAAACCTGGCCCTCGGTGAAGGCGAAGACTGAGCTCTGTGACTGCTAAGCATGCAGACGACACATTGCTAAGCCAAGTCCCAAGAACTCTTGTGCCGCCACCTGCCAGTGCTCAAGGTGCCAGTGCCAGGCTGCAGAGATGAGCAGGGTGCAGACAGCACAGGGCAGGGGTCCCCATCCTATAGTGAGTTGTGTGATTATTTCATTATATGTTACAATGTAATAGCAATAGAAATAAAGTGCATGATACATGCAATGCGTTTGAATCGTCCCAACCGCTCCCCATCCCCTGGTCTGTGGAAAAATTGCCTTCCATGAAAATGGTCCCTGGTGCCAAAAAGGTTGGGGACTGCTGGTTTAGGGCACGGAATGCAAGGTGAGGCCAAGGCACCACGCTCCCCAGGTCAATGGCACGGCCCTTCTGCTGTGGCTTGGGCGTGGCTTGTTTGCCCACCAGGTCTCATGTTGGAATGTGACCCGCGGTATTGGAGGTGGGGCTGGAGGGGGGTGTTTGGATCATGGGGCTGGGTCCCTCGTTGAAGGGCTTGGTGCTGCTCTCATGGTAATGAGTGAGTTGGGGCTCTGTTAGTTCCTGTGAGAACTAATCGTTACAAAGAGCCTGTCACCTCCCTTCTCTCTCTCTCTCTCTCTCTCTCTCTCTCTCTCTCTCTCTCTCTCTCTCTCCCTCCCCCCTCCTCCATCCCCTTCACCTTCCGTCAGAGCAGCGGCTTCCCGGTGAGAAGCAGACGCCGGTGCCACCCTTCTCGTCCATCCTGCAGACCCTCGTGCCAAAGAGACCACCTTTCTTTACAGAGCTCCCAGACTCAAGTGTTTCTTTACAGCGACTCCAAGGGACGAAGACGCCGTCTTAGTAGGATTTGGGAAAGTCTGAGGCAAAGCACAGCAACTGGAGAAAACACGGCAAAGGCCCCTTCTGCCGTGGAGAGCCAGCGAAAACCCTGTGACGACAACCAAGGAGACAGACAGCAGTGTCCAGCTTAGGGCCGGGTGTGGCCAATTTCTGCGTCAATGAGCAGGTGCTGCTGCCACAGCCGGGGGGGAGGGGACTGGGCAAATCTCGGCTTACCTCAGGAAAGGCATCCACGCGGCGCCCGGAGTGGCCCGACTGACGGGGCAGGGAGACTGGCACCTCACCTTCGCCCTCTTTCTTTAGGCATTTGTGTTTCTCTTTGCCTTGATGGCCTCAATAGCCAGTTGCTTGCCTTTCTCTGGCAAAAGAAAGGCTGCTCCAGACAAGAAACTGCTCCACGTCCAAGGCCATGGGCCACCCAGATCCACTGGGGATGACATCTGGCCGGCACTGCTAAGTCCTGCAGCTGTGACTTGGAGGAAGGCTGGAGTAACCCAGACCCGGGCTGCCCGTGGGTGTGCAGTTGGGCAGGGACTTCAGTCTTCATCTTCTTCCTCTGTCCCGCGTTCCTGAGCCCTGCGGGGAGGGAGGCACAGAGGGCAAAGCTGCCCCAGACTGCAAGGGGATTGATCTCCGTGGCCGGCATCCCAGCGCAGGTCTGTTTTCTCCAAAAACCCGTATTCTTTCTGTGTCACCACGCTCAAAAGAATGGAAGATTTACTTAACAAATGGCATGGCAAGGTGGAAATTTGGTAATCATTTTAAACACCTTACCCTAGACACAAAAAAATAAACTCAAAATAAGAACTTACATAGAGAATGGCAGGAAAACTCGTGGAAAATGAATTGCATACTGAAGCAGTTGAAATCAAAGAAGGAAGACAAATACCATGTTTTCACTTTCAAGTGGGGCCTAAATAATGTAAACCTAGGACCCAGAGTGGCATGATCGACAGTGGGAACTTGGAAGGGTGGAGGAGTGTGGCGGGGTGGGTGATGAGAAGTTCCTTAATGGGTACAGTGTGCCTTATTTGGGTGATGGGTCCCCTAAAAGCCCTGACTTCACCACTGTGCAACCTATCCTTGTAACAAAATTACACTTGTATCCCCTAAATTTATGCAAATAGATAAATGGCAAATGTAAGCATACTTTCTTATTTAAGAAAAGAAATCATAGAAGGAACAGATTGATAAATTAACATTTATTTGTATGTGATAAATATTGACTGTGAGTATAGTCATGAATAAGAATAGGTTTCACGCAAATAGAAATTGTATGATAAATAAAAACACACACTTTGATAGATCTTGAACGTCACATGTCCGATACAAAAATGTAAATTGGTGCTCATCAACATTATAAAATTTGCAAAACATATTTAAGGCATAAGAAAATGTTAGCAAAGTGGCGATGAGCAGCAACATGTTGGTCTATGCAGTAATGCCTGTAGTGCATCACAGAGCCCCTACTCCTGGGACTTTATCTAGGAAATCACCCCGGAGAAGAAAATGTATTTGTTGTGGCAGTGGGTTACTCCAGAGCCAGAGGACAGAATCCTCCTAGTTAGGCACCCCTGACTTGCCATCCTGCCTCTGATATTTACTGGCTTGAGGAAGTGACTTGACACAGCTATGCTTCAGGTTCCTCATTTATAAAATGGAAAAATACAATGTGTGATACAAAGTGCTTAGTGCTCATTAAGCAGAAGCAAGTGACACCAAAGAGTGATTCTCAGTAGATGAAGGTAGGCGGCACCCAATGTCCATCAGGAGGGCAATTAAGAAAATTATTATATGCTAAATGTGTAAAATCTTAAAAAGCATTAAGAAGACAGTTATGACAACTCTGATAAGGAAATCAGCTTAGGATATGCTAGGTAAAATATGATGAAATTTTTCGATAGCCACTATGATCATAGCTAAATAAAATATGCACGCATGCGAGCAAAGACTGGACAAGAATATGATAAAGGAAAATGAAGGAGATGATTTTAAGGAGATTTGAAACTTTTTCTTAAATGTTTGTATACTAACCGAAAACCAAGGATAAAAAGGATGGCTGAAAAGAAACTTGTGTGTGTTGTGTAGGGGTAGAAACTGAGTGTGCCCACTACCCATGGCAGGAGGTGATAGGAGTGGTGATGTTTCTTCATTTGGTTGGCATTTATGGAACCCTATTGTGCCAATTCTTTGGAAACAAAGATCCTGCCCTCACAAGCTAGTAGGGAAGAAGCAGATAAAAACAACCAATAAATTCCATTGTGGTAAATTCATTAATAGAGATAAATATAAGACAATCTACCTTTTAAAGGAGTTGGGCTAGGGGGCTTCCTCAAGGAGATGATGAGCAAAACTTTAAGGTGAGGAAAGTCAGGCAGCTGATGAGGGGTGAGGGAAGGGCAGCCCTTGGAAAAGTATGTGCTGTGGTTTGTCCCTGCCAAAGTCACGTTGTAATTTAATTGCCAATGTAATGGTATGGGGGGGGGGGAGACACCGGCCTCCTGAATGGATTAATGCTGTTATTTCAGGAGTGGGCTAGTTACCACGGGAGTGGGATCCTGATAAAAGGATAAGTTCAGCCCCACTGTCTCTCTGTCTCTTGCACATGCTTCCACACAACATGCTGATGCCTTCTGCTGTGAGAAGACCCTTCCAGATGCAGCGCCATGCTCTTGGACTTCACGGCCTCTACAACAGTGAGCCAAATAATGTATGTTTTTTACAAAGTATCCAGTCTGTGATAGTCTGTGGCAGTCTGTTATAGCAGCAGAAAATGGACTAAGACAGTATAGAAAGAGGCCAGAGACAAGAGTAGAGACAGAGATAAGGCCAGATCATCGCCTTACATGTCACCCTAGGGTGTGTGAGTTTTATGCTGACATAAAAAATCAAAGTACAGTTATTTGTTTGTTTTTTTGTTTTGTTTTTGTTTTTTGCAGTCAACCAAGAGAAAACAATGGGTTTCCACACTAACTCAGCAGCGGTGGCAGTGACAGGAAAGGACTGTGCATAAATCTTTGAGAAGAGAATCAACAGATGAATTGAGGGGAAAGAGAAGCAAGCAGAATGGGAAAGATTCAAAGGCAACTTTGAAGTCACCAGTTTCACCAAAACAGGAAACCAGAAAGTTGGGAGAAGGGACCTCAGACCATTGGCCAAGCTGGGGTCAAAAGGTCTGTTTTGCAGCCTGCTCAATGGGTGATGCCTTTGGGATATGTAAATGAAGGCATTCGTCAGGTTATGGATAAATGGTCTGAGGTTTAGGAGAGAGATGCTAACTGGAAGTATAGATCTGAACATCATCTGTACATTAATCACTGGGAAAAGAAAAGAATGATCTGTTTTTGAGGTTCTACATTATTTCAGGTGCTTCGCACATAATGTCTCATTTAAACATCACAACCACTCCCATGAATTTTGTATACAAGGAAGGTGAGGCTCCCAAAACTTCAGTAACTAACTAGGACTCTTTGTTGCAAGGAACAAAGCCAGCTTACTGGTAGAATTGACTGTAAGGACACGGGAGACTCTGGGGCACCTAAAGACAGAAAGGGGAGAGAGGAGCAGCATGCTTCCATTTTCATTTCGCAAAGCTCCCTGTGTGGGAGAGGAGCAGGCTAGGGGAGGGCCAGGGCAGGAACGAGGAGGCCGGCCGGGATCTGTGCCACCTCTCTTGCCAATCAATCTCGAAGCAAAGGTTTGTTGAACTAGATGCAGCTTGGCTTGAAATCATGAGAAAGTGAGCGATCACGGAGGAAAGATACCCTGTGCCTTTGCCAACTTCGGTCTAACAGTCGCCAAATTTTTTTTTTTTTTTAAGTAAAATCGACTCTCTCTATATAAACTCCAAATGCATGGAGTATAGATGGACTTTTAATAACAATACTTTGTGGAATGATCATGATTTTAAGTAGAAATTCTTTTTTGTTTTTGCCATTTTCATGCCAATATCTTTTTTTCAGACAATACAGTAGAACAGGTTGTGAGGTGAGACTCATTAAACATTGAACCTGCTTCAGTTCTCCCTGTCTGTTGTAAAACCCTGGATGGGTCCTCATAAAATGAGGAATTTGAACTAAAATAAGTGCTTCTCAAGCTCTAACGTGCATGTGAATCTCCTGGGGTGTTGACAAAATGCAGTTTCCTGTTCACCAGGCCTGAGCTTCTGCCTTTCCAATAAGCTCCAGGGTGGAGGAGATGCTGCTGGTGAGGGTCACACTCCAGATAGGTCACCTGCCCCAAGGTGCCGTTATGCTATAAGCTTTAATGGTCACCAGACAAGGAAAAGCATTATGTCAACAGTTGAGAATGGAAAGTGTTTATTTTAGAAAATAAATACAGCTTTACTTTTCTGTTTATAAGAGTAATACATGCTTGTCACGGTGGCTCCTGCCCATGTTCCTAGCACTTTGGGAGGCGGAGGCCAGAGGACTGCTTGAGGCCAGGAGTTTGAGACCAGCCTGAGCAAGAGCGAGGCCCTGTCTCTACAAAAAAATAGAAAAATTAGCCAGGTGTTGTGGTGCATGCCTGAAGTCCCAGCTACTTGGGAGGCTGAGGCAGGAGGATTGCTTGAGGCCAGGAGTTTGGGGCTGCAGTGAGCTATGATGATGCCACTGTACTCCAGCCTGGGTAACAGAAGAAGACCCTATCTCAAAAAAAAAAAAAAAAAAAAAAAAAAATCAGCCCGAATTAAATACCACTCAAACTTATGTGCTTTCTTTTCACTTGGTTGTGAAGAATATAAAGGCTAAGTTTCAGTATTCATGTTGTATTACCTTCTCTTTTCAAATCAGATCGTGACCCTGGTATCTTTTTCAATTTGCTGCCAATCACCTGGGCACTAACTGATTCGAATTCACTTCCTTTGACTGCAGTAGATTCACTCCTGCATCGTCTGATCTCAAGTCGCTCACTGCTGGGTTCAGAAGAGGGGAGTGGATGCCTTTCCAGTGAACCCAGCCATGCCGAATTGACCTGAGGGTGTCTAAAACGAGAAAATAGCTCAGTGAATACAGACAGCAAGTCTTAAAGTCAGAGTTAAGACTCATCAAGAGCTGATAATCAACAGAGGGTTCTATAAATGCATTCATCTTTTGGGAATGACTTATGTCATAATAATAGTTGATTAAGGAAGAAATTTCGTCTGGTTCCTCTGTGCTTTCTTCAGTGATAATTAATGTTAAACCTATTTGAGAGTACCTGAAATTATTTGCAATAATAACAAGACAGCCTTAAGATCTTTTTGGTTATTGAAAACATATATGTGACATTTTTTTTTTTTTTATTTCTCAACTTACAAGTCTTGTTATATATGTGACATTTTTAAAACCCAATTAGAATTTATTGAAATATACAACTGTTAGATATAAGATTATACATCCTAAATATCAAATTAACTTTATTATTTATGTTTCCTTTGTCTCCTCTAAGCAGCCACAATTCCTAATTTAGCATCCAATAAAGTAATCATAATTGCAAATTTATATCTTTATATTTTATAGCTTAAGAAAAATTTCAAACTGTATATAGATTTATAGGAATATCTATATCAATATTCACAAAACCAGGCAAATAAAAATACTGTCAATGTGTAGATAACCATATGTTAAGAGAACGGTCAGTTTGAAATCATGCCATTAGTAACTCAACTAGGTAGCACAGCTGTTAAATATATGGCGGTGAGTTCACATTTTAGATAAATGATACCATGATTTTAAGTAACTTAGGTTTAAAAAACTTAGGTTTAAAAAAAGTTTCTGAGCCGGGCGCGGTGGCTCACGCCTGTAATCCTAGCTCTTGGGAGGCCGACGTGGGCGGATTGCTCAAGGTCAGGAGTTCAAAACCAGCCTGAGCAAGAGCGAGACCCCATCTCTAGAATAGAAAGAAGTTAATTGGCCAACTGATATATATATAAAAAAATTAGCCGGGCATGGTGGCGCATGCCTGTAGTCCCAGCTACTCGGGAGGCTGAGGCAGAAGGATCGCTCGAGCCCAGGAGTTTGAGGTTGCTGTGAGCTAGGCTGACGCCCCGGCACTCACTCTAGCCTGGTCAACAAAGTGAGACTCTAAAAAAAAAAAAAAAAAAAAAAAAAAGTTTCTGAAATATACAGATTTCTACCTCACAGAGGGCTCTGAAAATACTTTAATCTTTGGGATTTCACATGTCATAATCATCATTGATTTTTCTTTGCTTTTGTCCTAAATTGCCCTTGAACAGTATGCTTTTAGAAACCCTGGGTTATTTGTTATTTAATCATAATCTTCTTATTATAAAAGTCATACATGTTCATTGCAGAAAGTTCTTCAAAATGCAATAAAATATAAATAAAAATCATCGTCAGTGTCACTATCCAGAAATAATCATTGTTGGTGGTCTAATGACACCTTTATACACTGTATTAGTTTCCCAGGGCTGCCAGAATAAATTAGCCACAATTACAACAACAGAAGTTTATTTTCCATGGATGCCAGGAGTCTGAAATTAAGGTGTCGGCAGGGCTGGTTCCTGGAAGAATCTGCTCCATGCACCTCTCCTACCTTCTGGTGGTTGCCAGCAATGTGTGGCTTGTAGACACATCATTCCAATCTCTGCCTCCCTCATTTCATGGCCTTACTCTCCCTGTGTCTTTTCGTATGAGGACATTGGACCTGTGACCCACCCTAATCCAGCATGACTTCGTCTTAGCTAATTACATCTGCAAAGACCCTGTTTCCAAATAAGGTCATATTCTGAGGTTCTGGGTGGATGTGAATTTTGGGAGGACACTTATTCAAACCACCATACACAATATAATATATATTTGTGTAATTATAACAAGGGAATCATATTTTATATATAGCTTAGTTCTCTTTTTGGTTAGGATATCATAAGTCTCCCTATGTCTTTCAAAAATAGGATTTTTAATTTTTGTAGAGTGCTTCATCATATATCACACCATTTACATAGCCAACCTGCTACTTCAGAAATTCAGATGGTTCCCATTCTTTTCTATTATAAATGGCTCTGATGAATATACATGTACCTAAATCCTTGAATTTATCTCAACTTATTTCCCTGGTATAAATTATTTTGAGTTGAATTATTGGATTAAGGAGTATAAGCATTTTAAAGGCTCAGGAAAATTTTTGTTGAAGCTCAGAGATTGTATCCATTTACTGTCACCGGTGAGAGAGGAAAGAGCCCACCATGTTGCACCCTCTGTACAATAATAGCATTAAAGTTTTTGGAATGTTTGACAAGCGAATAGGCACACACACACAAAAATTACATCTCTTGTACTTATATTTTTATGTAAAGTTGCATCTTTTTCTGTTTATTGGCCATTTATGTATCCTTTTCTGAATTATCAGTTCATGCCTTGTATCTACTTTTAATTTTTTTTTTCTTCTTTCTCCAACTATCAGTATTTATTTCTTACTGTCTCACTGAGGAATACACGTTCACCCCTCTTGGAATGTGCTGTGAGCTAAGTTACTATGTACACATACCCCCCTTCCCTGTTCCCATTCTCAGGCCACCTCTGACCCCGGGACAGAGGTCCACCAGCACCTCCATTCCTGTCATCATGGCCCACGTGTCCCTCTCCCTTCTAAGACTTTGAACACTCTGGGGCAACGTCCATGTCTTACTCTTGTTTCCGTGTCTTCAGCAACTAGCACAGACAATAAATATTCGTTCAACTGAATTGTTAGATTATGATCTGGAAATGTTCACAATATCCTGTTAAGATAGAAACAGTTAAATAAGGGCTTATCAAATAAGGATAGACTCTAAAGGGACTCTGGATAAAGCGCGTAGGATTTAACCCATGAATGTTGTAGTTCTCTAAATTTTTAGAAGTAGTAATTTTTTACTCCCATATTTCTCAGCTATCTCTGGGATAAATGAGACTGTGGGCAACATTGTCTAGACAGCCAAAGTGTTAGCAATAATAAGCATAGCAATAATTATTATAATAGTAATGGAATAAAGACATTAATGTATTGAGATCAAAATGAGTTGCAGTTTGTCAACATTTTAAATGTTATGTTGTTTCCATTGAAATAATTGACCGTACTTGTAATAAATATAGCACAAATGTGTGCAATTTGTAGATTTTGGAATAAATTCCTGTTTAGCATTCGACTGTGAAGAACAGTCTAACTCTATTTGAAAAATACTTTGAAAAGCCCTGGTGAAAAGTTTCCACCAAACCTAGAAACCAGTGGATTATAAAACAGAATTAGAAAAGTTATGAGAGAGAACTCTTAAACATTGCATCAGCTGCAAGAAACTTTTCATAAACATCTTTACAAGCATTACTGTCTGGTCGAATTCATTTTTGCATGGATGTTAAAACAAGCTGTTGCCACAAGTGGGCTTTCTGTTCTGATCCTTATTCTGCCCCAGATGTCCTTTATCCTCTTCTCCACCCTTGCTTTGCCCCTCCCCTGTCCCCTCAAAATGCCACCCACCCTAAAGAGCCCCGTCCAAGCCTGTGTCCTGAGTTCTGAATGCCTCCCCATGGCAACCAGGAGAGCCCTTCCGTCCTCTCTGGCTCCACTGCACACTGGTTTTGACACTTTCATCACTCTTAGCCATTGTGCAATGTGTTCTAGCTCTTTGTGAGCAATTTATCTTCCCCCTGTAGATGGTACGCATCTAAAGAACGGAATGAGCTGGGGAACCGTATGTAAATACTCACATGTTATTTGTGACAATGGCCGTAACAGTTAACATGCGAAGGGCATACACCTTGACCCTTTTGAGACTGAAATAATTTTCTAGGAATATTGGAGACCCAGCATTTCTGGACTTCCAACAGCCTGCCCCCTTGTAAAGTTGTGCGGACACTCTTTCATTGTAGAGCTCTGCCCAGACCCTCTCTCCAATACACGCCGTGTACATGCCGCGTGCACGTGCGTGTGCGCCTGGGTGTGCGCGCGCCCGCGCGTGCGGCGGGGAGCAGCCCGGGTGCCTGGGGCTTGGCGGGCGAGGGCGCACCGCACCGGCTGCCTCCGCGCTGCTTCATCCCCGTTCCCAACGTCTCCATCCGGTGCGCGCTAAGGCGTGTTTTGTTGAAGGTGCTTCTGGGCTCTCCGGAGGGGAAGGCAGGCGACCTCCTCCCAGCGCGGCGGGCCGAGGAGAGGTGAGCGCGCTTTCGAGCGTGGGCAGTGCCGCCTGGCAGATCGACCCGGTACCTGCCGAATTCAAGGCGAGCCGACTGGGGCCAGTTTCCAGGGCGCAGCCCAGACCGGGCCGGAGTCCGCGCGCGCTGGGGCTGGAGGGGCCGCCGCCGGCTTGGGGGCGCAACAGGGTTTGGGAGAAGGGGGAGGAAGGCAGGCCACTTGGCGGGCTTTGTTTTTGGTTCGGGCAGATCGCGGACGCGAAGCCAGCCGGAGCGCTCCCGCGCGCTAATTGGAAGGGGAGGGAGTGACTCGGGTTACACCAGCGCGACCTTCCCTCCCGGTAACTGCTAACTTGTAGCTTTAAAAGGAAGTGACATGAGTGGGGAGAGACGTCAGCTGAGGACCACTTTTTTTTTTCCTTCCCGAAGGGTCCACCCCATGGGTGGAGTCTCGCCTTTTCTCCCCAGTGCTGGCCGACTCGCAGCCCCATGAACTAGCGGCAGTCTGCGCGCGGCGGCTCCGTCTCGGCTCCTGGCCGCCGGGTTCGTGCGCCCGGGGCTGCCAGGAAGGAGGTAGGTGCAGCTCGCGCGGGCCGCCACCTTCCCGCCGGGCGTGGCCGCGGCTCGCATCGCTGCCGCCGCCTCTCCTCCGCGCGCCGGCCGTGCGGGCTCCGCGGGCTCCGCGGGCGGCGGGCAGGGCAGCGCAGGGCGCGGCGGGCGGGCGGGCTCGGACCCCCGCGGCTCCGTCCGTGCGCCGCGCCCTCGGCCCCAGCCCCGCGCGCCCGCCGCTCCCGGCTACGCCGTCCTGCTCCTCGGCCATCGACGAGGCCGGGAGCGCGTTCTGTTCCATGCTGCTCTCTTTTGTGTCATGCAACATGTTCTTCCGTCTCTGACGTTTCTATGGCAACCGCAAAAATACTACGCGGAATGCAGCAGCCCCGACAGAAATGGGTTTATCTGCCTTTCCGTGTCTGGCCTGCGGCTCCCCGCGCCGGTCGGCGGCCGCTCGGGCTTGCGAGGAGCCGCGCGGCTTCGCGGCTACCCCTCCTCACTCGCATTTTGGTTTTTCCCTGTGGCGGCGGGGAGGGGTGGGGGAGGGGAGTTGTCAAGGAAACGGGCATTTGTAATTACCTCTCTATTTACCTGATGCTCGGCCTAGGCATTCTCCATCATATCTAGGAATTAAAGAAGGAATACTTTGTTGTTTATGTAAGACTTCAGTGTCTGGTCTTTCTTTTCTATTTTTTAGGAAACCTAAACACTTCTCAAGATGTGATACTGACCCTGTGACCAGGCTGAGGGGAAGTAACACGTAATGCTTTATGGGGGCGAGATGCTTGGAATAAAGTTGTAGAGAATGTCTGAGAATTCACACTGGTACAACGGGACCCTCTGCCCGGCTTTGCCTGGAAGTCTCCATGTTTATCAGATGGGTCTTGGCTCTGGTCTGAACTTAGCGCGATATTGAAGCTCAACAAGTATGAGCAACAAATGGTCACTCCCCAGTAGGAGTCTCAATTTTCGTTTTTGTGCCTTGTTCTTAGATGGAGTTCCCAGGCTGTTCACTCTCATTAAGGTGAGAGCTGATGGACTTTTCCTGTTTCAAAACTGTGGATCAACCTGTCTGTGCTTATTAGTCAACCACCTTCAGCTGGAAGAGAAGTTATCTTGAGAGAAGGGAGAAAGTGCGTGTGTTAACGTGTGTGTGTGTTTAGGGAAGTGTAAAGATGGCAGAGAGAATGGGAGCAAATCAAAAATCCTAAGTTAAAATTATTACTACTACATCTTCTGAATGTTCTCCATGGGGAGAAAAAAAATTGGTTTTCTGAAAAAAGTATGAGATGAGAGAAGATGATTATCTACCTAGGAATAAGCAAAGTTGAATATAATTAGACTCAAATAACACATCTCTTCAAAAGACATAGTCCCAATGGGCCTATTAGCAGGTATCAGTTAAATTGATGCTTTTATTTAGTACATGTAAGGAAATGTTTGTTGACGGGCACCATTCTTTTCATGGGCATCCCAGATTACCAAATCAGCCTTTATAGGATCGATCAGTAGTAATCCCATGTTTTGATTCTTAAAATTTTCTGCAATTTTGGTTAAGGTTTGTGAAGGTCACTTAGCCCTCACGATACCTTCTGGCTATTAAAGCCAAAAACATTACTTAGAAACCTCAGAGTAACCGTGCCCTGAAGAAGCAGGAAGAAGAAGTGGTTTTAATGAGGTTTTGTTCCCTGAGCTCCTTGTCTAGATGCGCTATCATCAATGTCTTATAAAACTTACTATGATGCAAGAGGTCTTAAGTATTTAAGATACAAACGTTATCTGAAAATGGGGGTTAAATAGCGTGCACCAAACTAGAGCTAAATGGAGTAAAGAGAACAATTTAAAGGGCATAAAACATAGAAAAGTATTACTAAAAAGAATATGACACATTTTGGAAAAGCCCATTCTAGTACACATAGAGAAGTGGTTGGATTGTAGGCTTTGATGTTTGCAAAGAGTTCTGAAGGCAGTCATGCTAAGTTCCTGTTTTTCCAGCCTGAAAATTGTCCACAAGGATGTAGATTTACCACGCGACCTTCCAAAGCAGCCTGACAGCGAGTAAGAGAACGTCTTATGGTGGGAGTGCTCTTGAGTTTCCAGATCTGGGAATTTCACAACAAAAACCCTAATGGTATAGCATTTAAAGGAAAAGTAGCAAGAATCCCTTGGAAGTATAGAAAGAAAGAAAAAACCCCGACCAACCAAACAAAAACCACTTTGCGACATCCAGATCCTGAGTAGAGGTTAAAATAATCACCAGCCTTGACCTGGGGGAGGGACTTGGAGCTGTGAATGTGGAGTGAAAGCAGGGTCCCATGAAAGAGGCTGGCTAGAGGTAACACTAACGAAGTCAGTTCTAGAGTGACAGTCCTCATGGTATTGGGATTTCGCTGTCTGCGAGGCTCTGAACTGGGCGCTGTGAAGCTGGGGAAGAAGGCAGCAGCTGTAGCCCTCCAGACAGGTGGCAAAACGTGTGATGGGCGCGCAGCTGGGGAGAAGGTGAGAGCAAGTGAAGGGGATTGGAAGGAGAATGCAGTTAGTCTGAGACGAATGCTAGCAGGAAGGGCTGGAAGATGACATTGACATTTTGGAGGAGAGGAGGCAGGCGATTCAAGGGGAGAAGGTGAGGGTGTCCCAGATGGCAGAGATGGATGATAAGAGATGGATCTTGGCTCAGGGTTCTTATTATAAGCAGGGAGAAGTCAGTCTTTAGTGTAGAATAGAGCAGGTATACGCTGTGCTGGCTGAAAGAATACGAAGTCGATGTAAAGGACAGAATTTTCTTACAGATGAGGACAAGAAAGGTTGTTAGAAGAAGGATAGGAAGTGGAATCCTTTCTCATCCAATAATTTTTTTTAGCTGAAGCTCAAAAGCTAAAGGCCAGACTTAAACCCATCTTTAAACAAGTAAGACATTGGGGGAGAGGGAACCCCGAACTCACAATGTCATCCTAGTAATTCCTACCATTGCCTTTGCTTTGAATTGTGGGGTGCTCAGATGAGGGTATGGTAAACATAATACACTTTGCGTGATCTGCTGTGTTCTGAAAAGGAGGTCTGATGGGTATGGGGAGAAGCTGAGTTCACATTTCTAAATGGTTTTTTAACATCTAAATATTTGGAGAAGCATATGTTTGATCAAGCCTGGCTTAAAAATCCTCTGACATCAGCCAGGGCCTGGGTAACTAATTCATCGGTCTTTGTCTAAGACAGTGAATCGGTTTGGAGTGTAAGAGTTGGAGCTCTGAAATCTACCAAGGCTGTATGAGAAAGCAGAGCCTAAAGCATATACTGTTCTTTCAACAAATACTTCTTGTGTATCTATTATGTGTTGGGGCTGTGGATGCAACTGTGAGCAAAATAAGATACAGTTTCAGTTGTTACAGATTTCAAATATCTGAGGGGTTTTCAAGGAGGATCTGTGACTGGCTGATTTCTGTTTTCTTCCAATAAGAGTAGTAAGAGAATAAGAGGAAATGTCTTAAAATAGGAACAATTTTTGTTGAACACTATCTAACCTGTCCTCTTACAAGGTGCACTCTTGCTTCACAAAGATTTTTTTTACCTGTTTCATTTTTGTCTTTATTTTGTTCCTTGAATCTGGTTTGCTGTACTTCTTCCTTTGACCCTAAGTCCTACCTTTTAGTCACCATCCATCCATTCATTCATTCTTTCATTCATTCATTCATACAGGCACACATTCATCTGTCATTCATCCGTCCATTTATTCATCTGTTCAAAAATAGTGTTGATACCATGTCTCAGGCACTGTATATTATGGATATAGCAACAATAGGAAACCAGTTCGGCCCTAAACAAGCTCAGGAACTAACAGGGAAACAGATGTGGAAGCAGCCCTTTAAACCAGGGCATATTACTTTGGATCCAGGTGTTTATTGGCTGTGACATGGATGTGTATTTCACTGCACAGTTTTCTATGTAGCCTGTGCTGAGCAGGCATGGAGTGAGTGATTAGCTGTTGACTGTTGTCTGCCTCATAATTTTCTGGTATCTGCCATGTTGGTTGAGCATAAGGATGGTAAACGTTTGTTAATTAAGTAAATGGGAAGAAGTGGGGTTTGTGACCCTGGAGATAAAGCGGAATAGAAGGCGTGTGTCCTCTTTCTGAAAGAACAAGCTGAGTGAGATATCTCTCACGGGTCCCCCCATAGAGAGTTACTTACAGATTTCCAGGGGACTATAGCTCACCCCCCAGATGGGCTCAGAGGATAGCATTTTAAAAAGAAAAAAACCCCCACCTGCCTCAAACTATATGCCCACTGGGTTACTAAATACCCTCATGTCCTTCAGAACTTGTTTTCCATAACACGTTGCAAGTCTATGTCTTGTTCCGACAAAAACAAGTGGGTTTCAATCCCTTACAGCTTTCAGCCCTCTTATAAAGGAATAGCAGTTGTCAATGTAAAAAAGCCAAACTCTGTAAAATAATTTTAAAGAGATTTATTCTGAGCTAAATTCGAGGACCATGACCCAGAGCCACTGCCAAGAGGCCTTGAGCTAGTGGACTCAGATATGGCTGGGTGACAGTTTGGTTTTTATACATTTCAGGGAGACAGGGGTTACGGGTAAAGTCATAAATCAATACGTGGGTCATAAATAAATCAATATCATACATTGATTTGGCCCAAAAAGGTGGGACATCTGGGAGGGCGGGGGCTTACAGGTTATAGGTGGGTTTAAAGATTCTTTGGCTTGTAGTTGGTTAAAGACATGAAGCTTTTTCTAAAGGCTTGGAATGTTTTAACATAAGGAGCTGTTATCAGAGATAAGCCACCTGACATAGATTTGTTGTGGAAATTGAGGACCTGCAGGTTTGTCTTGCACACCCTTAGGCCTGTTAATGGGTTACAAAGGATGTCCCCAAGAAGGGAGGGGGGCATGAAGAGGCAAGTCTGACCTCCCTCCTCCTGGCAGACAATTTAATTTTAGGATATTCCTTTGGCCATGAGGGGGTCCATTCAGTCAGCCGGTGGGGGCGAGGTGAGCCTTAAAATTTTATTTTAGTTCACACAGTTCACCAGAAACTCACAGAGAATCTAAATACCCAATGTAAAGTATGTTAGGGCCTTGTTGCAGTACTTTCTCTTTCTGTTTCCTAATATCATGAAGCTCCTCTAGTAGAATTGTTTCCCCACTTAATTTCCCCCTATTTATTGCTATATCCATAATATATGGTGCCTGAGACAGGATACTCAATACTATTTGTTGAATAAATGGATGGATGGATGACAGATGGGTGTGTGCCTCTATGAATGAATGAATGTTGACTGAAAGGTAGGACTCGGGGTCAAAGGAAGAAGTAGAGCAAACCAGAATGGAGGAGCAAAATAAAGACAAAAGTGAAACAGGTAGGCAATCTGCCAAAGAGCAAGCATGCACCTTGGAAAGGAACACAAGGCTAGTAGAGTGGATTTCCCCACCACGGCCTAAACATTATAAGGGCAATAAGACAAAGTTCATCTGGAAAACCACACTCCTCTGCTTGGCTGACCTTGGGAGAAAACGTTTAGCAAGTTCTTTTTTTTTTTTTTTTTTTTCAATCTCAAATGAGATCAGCATGAAGCTGTTCCCAAGAGCTATTAGACGTAATAGCTATTTCATGGTCATTTCTACATAGGATCCTACAAGAGAGAGGAGGTGCATTTTGAACTTCATGGGATTTTGAAGCTGGACACAGAAATTCCTGCAGGATGTGATTCCTCAGTCTGGAAGAAACCTGCAGAGGCCATTGGAGACCCTGAGGTGACTGACCCGCCTGTAGAATATATGAGAATGATAATGCCCACCTTTACTGAAGCTCCCTTGTACATAGTGCAAGGTTTTTCAGCGGCAGCAGAAAGAAAAGACAGAGAGAGAGAGAGAGAGAGAGGGAGAGAGAGTGGGGACCAAACCACATGGCTTTATTATACACTCCTGGACGAGGTTCTGGGGCTCCAAGAGATGGGGGCCCCAGAAGTCGCTGCCGTTTGAAGGGGCTGAGGCCTTTTATACCCTTCGGGCCTG